AGAGTATTGATAGCCGTTTTTGGGTGGCTTTTGTTTATTACGTGGAGCACATGCAGCAGCACCATATGGTATAGAGATCGTTGTGGTTCTGTTAAGAAAGCTATTTATGTGTCCTTTATGCTTGATTACTGCTCTTATTTAAATCTCGTCAATGATCTGATTATTGCGAGTATTCTCGGGTTAGTATGTTCTCTTATTAACAATATTTTAATAATTAAACCTGTTTTAATAATTAAACTGTCATGCATGAAAGTGATCACGCCTTTATTACATATTTTAAGAATTTCAATAAATCTTTTAAACGATAGCTGTTATTATTCACTAGCTTCTTCTACATTCAGATACATAGAACTAAAATTCGACCAAATCAACGAATACATACGGAAATCGGAGAGAAACAACGAGTACGAAATAAGACAAACATGGAATAATTTGATGTTGTTGCCGCATCAAACTGTGTACTCGAGATCGAAAAGCAGCAAATATATCACATGGATCGTAATGTATTGCAAAGAGCCGCGAAAATTTTAGAAATTACGACGATATTATACAGCACAACTTATAATTGTATATTTGCAGACATCTTCATTTGGAATTGCGAAGAATATCTCGTGAATTGGATTCGATATTTGGACTACAAATGAGTATCAAAATGGGGACATATTTCGCATTTATATCCTTAGGTTTTCGCCAGCTCTTCGACGTAATGCTCGTCAATAATTATGTCACTAGACCTATTCTGTTCTTTAGTTTGGCCGGAACCATCATCGTTGCGTACATATTCAGACTATTTCTGATTAATTATATGTGCGAAAGAGTCAGTGTCAAGGTATCGATTATATGTTCGCACTCAATATATATATTTTAAACTGTAGAAAGGACTAGATATTTCTGTTTCTCTCTCTCTCTCTCTCTCTCTCTTTCTCTCATTAATTTAAGTCAACATACCTGCCCTTTTAGATTTTATTTCGAACGTTTCAATTTTAGGCAAACGCTACAGGAGGTCTTATAAATAGTATTTCATATCATTCATCCGATATTGTAACTCGAGAAAACGTAAGTCATTTATATTGCTGTTTAAATAAATTATTGCAACTAGGACGTCATGTTTGAATTGAAACTAATGTATAAGTCATTTTTCTAATACAGATCTTGCAACTCGTATTGCAACTAACTCAAGCTCCGGTCAAATTCTATGGGCTTGGACTTTTCCAGTTTGGTTTTAAGTTTCTTTATGGGGTATGCTGCAACTATTCGATAATTATCTATTATAAATAATAAATCTCTATGAAGTTGAATTTCTTCTTTCAGTTTTGCAGCTCGGTTGCGACTGTCATAGTTATATTGGTGCAATCACATACAAACGGTTGGCGAAAAGAATAGTATAACTAATATACATAACTTTTACTTTTATGAGAAATTAATATCCGACATTTTTTTACAGACCACAAAATGAGAAATTGACATCTTCTAATCTATCATGTTGGTTTTATTTTATCCGTCTGTCTTCTCTTAATTAATAATTTTGTTTTTTATTAAGAAAAATATTTTTTCTTTAGAATAATTTTATATGACTGTTTAAAATCAGTGCATTTAACTCCTTAAGAAATTTTCTGGAATGCGTGTGTTACTGAATAATCATATTTCATAAAATTTATTATTTAGAATTTTACCATTTTTACGATCGATTTCAAGTGACTATAATTTCGTTGACAAATAAATTTGTCAATATTTTATAAAATAATAAAATATACGTTAATGTTTAGATAATGGTGATTCGAATTATTTCACGAAGAAACCCATCTAATTTATCGATTAATACGAACTCATCAATTAAAAATCAACACTACTGCATATTACTTTTTCGATATTTGATTATTTTTTAAACACGCGCAATATCATCGTACAATCAAAATAGGTATTAAAAAAATAAAATAACGAAAGGAGTAATAACACATAACGCATACACACACACACACACACACATACAATGTTTGCATTAATTCCGCACGGGAAAAAAAAAGAGTCATCAATTAATCCTTTTCGATATGCAAAATTCAATTGATCGATCGCTATAATAAGCAAAAGTGCTATCAAGTTCTGCTAGCCGATGCTATACGATACTGCTGGCAGTTCGAAGCAGGGACGGCCGCGTCTACAATGACGGACGACTTTCGCGCGGTATTGTCGCCGTTGCTGTATATTAGTTACGTGACAGGTGCAAGAATCGTAGAGTTTCCCGCGGGAGAACCAAGATCATGTCTCGGTCTCATATATATATTACTACTGTGGTCAGTTTACTTTATTCTTTACGTGTATACGGTATTTCATCACGTACGTCATTTTCAAATAATATACCATGTTTGCTTCTGGTTCGACCTTGTTACAACACTGTTGTCAACTGCTCTGGCAGTGTATTACGATAAGGTAAGAAAAAGTCAGAATTATTTATTATTACTCGCTCAGTAATGATAAATGATTCTGCTTATGTTTCGACATTACTCGAAGTTAGAGTTTTCTTTTGCGCTCCTAAGACGTCGTCCAAAATTTCTTATAAGACTCGGAAAACACCACAATAAAAATCTTTTCTGATTTAAAATTATCATTGGGTTTAAAATTGACTTGAGAATTGATAACTGCCAACTCTATCTTGACGTTTCTCAAGTTTTGTAAGAAATTCTGGGTGGCGTCGCTTTGAAGCGAAAAAGGTTAAATCTCTAAGTTACATTTCTTTACAGTACTATTTGCAAACTTAATTACCTTCTCACTGTATATTGTGTTATTTGTGTTAGAAACTTAGAAGCTGTTTGAGAAAGCTAGCTATCGTAGAAGATACGCTTGAGAAACTCGGGATAATGACAGATTACCAAAAGTTATACACGAGAGTGCTGTTAATCATCTTCGGGTGGTTTACGTTACTAATATTCAAAACATATAACAATAGCTTACCGTTAAAAGATTACTGTAAACCTATGAAAGCTTTCTATGTTGCCTTCATTGTTGATTATTGCCCTCATATTAATCTCATCGATGATCTAACTATAGCGAGTATTCTTGGGTTAGTATATAAAAGTTACTTTACGTTTAAAAGTTCTTATAAAAATTATTTAGAAAATTATGAACTATATACTCACATGTGAAAGATTTAAGTTATAAGAACTTCAAGCATTTTGTACAATAGTTCCGCAAATATAAAAAAAATAATTGTTATTATTCGCTAATTCTTCATATTTTCAGCTATATAAAACAAAAATTTCACCAAATCAACGAACGTCTCCGGAAATTAGACGAAGATAACGATAAAGTAAACCGGACACGGAAAGATCTCGCGACTTTCACGCGCCAAGCGGAATATCCGAGATACTCGACCAATGAATGTGTGTCATGGGTTGTAATGTATTATAAAAATTCTTGAAGATTTAATCAAAATTACGATTACACCACACGCAATGTGACTTAACATTGTATTTTCGCAGCCATCTTCATCTGGAATTACGGAAAATATCTCGCGAATTGAACTCGATTTTTGGACTACAAATGACTATCAAAATGGGGTCTTATTTCGCTTTCCTAACGATGAGTTTACAGCAATTCATCTGTACGATACTTATCAATAATTATACCTTCAATACCACAATAGCTATAACCATGTTCCTTCAGTACACGTTTAGGCTCATTCTCATCAATTATATGTATGAGAAAGTTACCGTCAAGGTATCGATTACATGTCTGCATCTACATGTCGAGATGCATCTACTTAACTTTCAATAATTATTTAGTCATTACAATCAAGTTTCCCGTACTAAATTTCGATTCTCTTTTTAATATTTTAATTTTAGGCAAACACAACGGGAGATCTTATAGGTAAAATATCGTATTCGTCAAACGATGATATAGTTCGCAAAAACGTAAGTCTTTTATTTTTGACTGTAATAAATAATTGAAACTAATGTGTAACTGTGTACTCTATTATAGATTTCGCAATTTGTATTACAACTGATTCAAGCTCCGGTCAGTTTCTACGGACTCGGACTTTTCCGGTTTGGCTTTAAGTTTCTTTTTGGAGTATGTATATAACACAATTATAAAAATAGTTTAAAATATATTAACTAATATTATTCGCACAATAAACGATGAATCTTTGAGAAAGACTATTTTTTTCTTTCAGTTCTACAATTCTATTTTGACAGTTACGACCATATTAATACAGTCGTATAACAACGGTAGGCAGAAAAAAAATATTACGAATATATGTAAATTATTTTCACTTTTGCTGAAAATTAACATCTGGCTTTTCTTTCAGAAAATAATGCTAAATGATAAGGAGTGGTAAATTAATATCTTCTACTTTTTATTTCGACGATTTCTCCCTCTGTGCTGTTTACTTATCTAATATTTGCTTCTTTTAAAAACAGAAACAGTTTCATGCGGATTTCTACGATCCGAAATAATTAGTAAATTTTCAATTACTTGAAGCATTTCCTGGGATATCACTGATGATCACGTTTCACAAAACTCCTTGATTAGAAGTGTGTTATATTTTTCGATCGACTCAAAGCGATAGTTCAATTCTCTTGTTGAATGTACTTTTTGATATATTGTTAAATTGTGAAATAAATGTTAACATTCTGACAGTAGTACATGATACGCGATTTATTTCAAGAAAGAGAAAAAACCTAGAAAGTGTATCGATTGATATCAAACTCTTAATTAAAAGGTAACTACTCCAGTTATTTTCTAACCGCATATAATATCGTCGCACGACTTCGCCAGCGTAAGAACATGAGATATAATCAACACCGATATGTACGGCATCAATACACTAATATCACGCGGATACAAAGCGACAGACTCATCAGAAACTTTTTTCCGATAACTCGTGATATGGGAAATGAAACTGATAGATTGTTACAATACACTCAAGTGCTGTAGTTGTTATTAACAAGTTCTGCTACCCGATGCCGCACGATGATACTGTCGGCAGTTCGAAATAGCAACGACTACGTCCACGATGACGGGCTACATACGAGCGGCATTATCGCCGCTTCTTGTTATCAGTTACGTGTTCGGTACAAGGATTGTCGAATTTCCCGCGGGTAAACCAAGACTGTGGTTCAGTTTTTTATACATATTTCTATCCTGGTCGGTTTATCATATTCTACTGATATATACCGCAATACATTACGTAAACGACCATCCTTTCACATACCATATTGCTTTTCATCTCAACATATTTATTGCATTCTTGTCAGTAGTTCTTGGAATATATTACGACAAGGTAAGAGAATATTATCACGGCTAAACATTAATGAAGATAATTAATTTTAGTTATACGTGGGTAATTGGAAGCAAAGTTATTACGGAGTCACGATCTAATGTCTTTGTATTTACACGTGTTATATGTTTGCTCAATACTGATTCGCGAATTCCACTTAGTCGTTTCTCAATTCAGACTATGATTTCTATATGTCAGAAATACAGAAACTGTTTGAGAAAACTCGCCATCATTGACGATACGCTAGAGAAGCTCGGAACAGCGACAGATTACCAGAAAGTATACATGACGGTATTGTCGGTCATCTTTGGATGGATCGCGTTTGCCATATCCGTAACTTACGTCAAGAGCTTCTGGTTGAGAGATCGTTGCGACGCTCTGAAAGCCATGTACGTTTCTTTCCTGCTGGAATATGTCTCTTACATCAATCTCATCGGCGATTTGATTATCGCCAGTACTCTTCGGTAAGCATACAATCTTCTTACAAAAATTATTTTAATAATCAAACTCTACCACAAGGCAAAAAAAATAGTATTTTCTGAATGTTCAAAGAATAAAAAATTTTTTATAAAATATACTCGCTGTGTTGAGCAGTAACTGTCATGATTCAATTTTTCCCGCATTTAGATACATAGAACTGAAATTTGATCAAGTTAATGAGTACCTGCGAAAATCGGAGGAAGTCGACGAGTATGAAACAAAACGCACATGGGAACATTTCATGTTGCATTCGCGCCCAGTCGGGTACCCGAAATCTTCACGCAGCAAATATACCACGTGGATCGTAATGTATTATGAGAGTTTGCAAAAATTAAATACATTCCAACGCAACTTACAGCGCAGTGAAAACATTATATTGCGTTTTTGCAGACATCTTCATTTAGAATTACGAAAAATATGTCGTGAGGTGAACTCTATATTCGAGCTGCAAATGACACTAAAAATGGGCTGTTATTTCGCTTTTATATCGAGAAATATTAGTGAGATCTTCAAAGCGATATTCAACGATACTTACATCAGCGATACTTATCTCAACAAAAACAACGATAGTTACATTAACAAAAACAAACTCTTTTTTCTCTTGATTGCAATCTCACTTGCTATATACCTTTTCAGACTCTTTCTCATTAATTATATGTGCGAAAGAGTCAGCGTTAAGGTATCGTTTACACATTCATATTTGACGTACTTTGTGTTCGCTTTCACGCGCGTCCGCGATTGTTTGACTATTAAATTATATTATATTTACATTCCATTGTATATACAAATTCGCTGCGCTGAAACCCGGTCTTGTTTGGCACATTTCAATTACAGGCAAATGCAACGGGAGATGTTATAAATATAATTTCATATTCCTCGTGCGACGTTGTCACTCGCGAAAACGTAAGTATTTAGCTATTAAGAAATGTATATGAAATGTACATAAAACGTATATGATAAATTAATATGATAATATAAGTGTGCTAATATAGATTTCGCAACTTTTACTGCAACTGACTCGAACTCCGCTCAAATTCTACGGGCTAAGACTTTTTCAGTTTGGCTTGAGATTCCTTCACAGGGTATGTTGCAATGATCAAATAATCATCTTTCACGAAAAACGAGAAATGTGTAACGAATACCTTATTTTTAGTTTACCGGCTCCATTGCAACCGTTATAGTTATATTAATTCAGTCACACACAAGCGTGTAAGTATAAAAAATAATTAATGTGACTGATATAATTGCGCATTTTATCGGCAATCAGTATTCTCCGTTTCTTCCAGAAAATGCTGCAACGCGTCGAATTAATATTTTCCATTGTACTGTCTATTACGCAGTGGTTTATTCATTAACTGAGAAGCAGCGTTTTCGCGCATTTTGCTCGCTGTTCGATTATTCTCTCGAGAGACATCATTGCATAACTGTCGGAGTGTGAAAATAAAGAGCATAAGAAAACGTAATATCGCGAGATCCCTACATGTTTTTTTCTCATACAGAAAAAAAATAATTAATTCATTAGTAATTCTATGCCGATAGTTATGCAAAATTCAGCGGATCGATCGTTTCAATACGCGTAAGTGCAGCAATTGCGAATTACGGAAATGCGCTATCATTGTCGTACAGCCTAGCTGTCAACGGGAAAATTGAGTTACAATAGTGGCGCCGTCACCAGCATGGCGACAAACATTCATGCAGTTTTGTCGACGGTTCTGATCGTCAGCTACGTGTGCGGTTTGAGGATTGCTGAGTTTCCAGTGAGGCATTCAGTAAGATGGCTCAGTCTTTCGTACATCTTGTTGCTATGGACGATTTATTGTGTTCTCCTGTATGACGTGATTCCTCGCATATCTCAAGAATTCATCGTATATAAGATATGCGTGTTTCTAGATGCTTTCACGTTGTTACTTTCGACTCTGTTTGCGATGTATCACGATAAGGTAGGATATGTTTATACAATTGTTCATTGTTTGATCGCGATCATGTTATGTTCAGGCAATTTCATTGCAGCGAGTAAGTAACTTTATGGCCTATGATTCATATACGTTAATGACACTAAATGAATGCACTGAAATTTGAGCAGAATTATCTCTTTATCTTTACACGAGAGATATAATGACGCTACAAAACATTAGTTCCATGTATTTGCGAATGGATACTATTTGTCCATTACAAAAATTGCTCTCTTACATTAGAAATTTAAGAGCTGTCTGAAGAAACTCATTATCGTGGATGAAACGTTGGGAGAACTCGGAACAACGACAAATTATCACAAGCTGAACAAAAGATTAAATATGATCATGGCGGTATGGATCGTATACATTTTGACAATGAACTGCTTAGAAAGCATTTGGTGGTCCAGTATATATGGCGTTGCAACAGGGATTTATATTCCACTTTTAATGAACTACTGTTATCATGTTAATAGTTTGAGTGACTTGACGTTTGCGTGTATTCTCGGGTGTGTATTCTCTGTGTGCTTCATGTACATATGATTAAATGGTATTATTGAAGATTTAGAGAATTTAATCTTTCTTTTTCCGGAAAACGCTTAAGAACTCATGTACACTTTCTTTCAATACGGCTTGAATATTTTATTCTCCAATACATTTCAGAACATAGCTCTAATGAAAGAATCTGATAGTGTCTGAATAAGATCTGAATGAGATCTCTTAACTTCTGGGAAATAAAATCAAGTTCTCTCATTGAATTATCATTCTGAGATGTATCGAGAAAACAGTGTATCGAAATAAAGTGTACGATACGTTTGCGCATATTCGTCAATAATTGCGTATACCGATTCTGCATTCAGATACATAGGATTAAAGTTCGATCAAGTCAACGAACAACTCCGCAAACTGGCCGATGACGAATCCATCGACCATGACAAGTGCAAAACAAAGCTGGCTTGGGAGAGTTCTGTTTTGCACACGCAACGACACAATTTCCCGAACTCCCTAGACAGCGAGTCTATCACGTGGATCGTAATGTACGAATTTGTAACAAAAGCGTAAACCGGCTACGTTCGCGAACTAATCTTTAATATCTCGCATCTGTACAGACATCTGCATCTAGAGTTACGCAAAACATCACGCGAGATAAACTCGATGTACGGAATAGAGACGACGGTCAAGATGACGTGTTACATCGTTTTTATAATACAGATCTGTCAGGAAATTTTCGATATAATAATCAACCATGAAATCAACGGGTTTCAAACTAATATCGGCCTTGTTCTATGCATATCCTGGGTCCTTTCGTACTTCTCCAAACTCTTCCTGATCAATTACACGTACGAGAGTGTCAGCGCTAAGGTATCGACTCTATTAACAATTTGCAAAAGTTCATCGGATCGAATATAGATTCATTGGCTCACATGCTGGTTGCTCATTTTACAAACTTAGAACCAAATGATTATATAAAAAGTGGCAAAAAATGGTGACAGATATTTCGAGTGAATATGGCATTACAGTTGTATTACTATTAATAAAAAAAACATCGCTAAAAATCCAAAGACTTATCGCAAACATCTAAAAATACACACGTTCCCACATCCATAATATAAGTACAAATTTATGACAATACTAATTTATGCAATAAATATTAATTTATACAATTTGAACGATGGTATCGCGCAATTTCTATCTGTATTTTGCATTTCCGATATAAAATTTTGTATCTAATTGAAATTGAATTATAGTTCATTTTATATATCCCAATTGTAGGCAAATGCCGCGGGAAATTTTATCAAGCGAGTGTCGTATTCTACCTATGATGAGGAGACCCGAGAAAACGTGAGCTTTCATACAAATTTTTATATAACGAAATGTGGATTTAAGCATTGACAAAGAAACAATAACGTATAAATAATCTATTACGTTAATGCGTCTATTGCAGATAATACAGTTTTTACTGCAACTTACACGAGACCCGCTCAAATTCTACGGTCTAGGTCTATTTCAATTTGGCTTCAAATGTCTTCACAGAGTGCGTTGTAAACATTAAATAATTGTTCATAATATAAACGAACTTTCCATAATAAATACTAAAAAGCTGATATTATTTTTCTTTAGTATTCCGAAATTATTTTGACTATCTTGATTATATTGATACAGTCAAATACGGATAGATATATGGTTTCTAAATATATGTAAAGTAAATAAGACGGCACGTAAGCAACTTTGAAATGGGCATCAATTCACCACACAGTGAGTGATACAATCCCTTTTCATGATAACGTCTTGATAATTTTGTATTCTTATCCATGATTAATGTTAACATTTCTTTTCCAGGAGCTTTGCTGCAGAATGTAAAAAAACCATTATTAATAATTTATTTTCACGCACATGCGAGAAAGACTCCTCTTGTTCCAACTCGTGATAATTACATTCTTTACTTAAAATAATTTTGTTTTTTACCGCCCGAGTACACAATAAAATTTTGCAAAAATAATATCAATTAATACGTCAAAGACCAAAAATTATTTATAATTCCTCGATTGAACAACATCGTTTTCACATACGCTATAATACTATTCAATGATTATCCAGCATAAAAATAAAAAATAAAGAGAACAAAAACTAAATAAAATCAATATTTCATACCTATGGAAATAAACAACGGTCTCGTTATTGGCCTGTTTTTGTTAAGGTGGCTGAAAATACAACAGACAAATTACTTCGTTATACTTAAATGCAACGATTGTAAATTACGAAGTTTCTCTGTTGTTATCTGATTGCTATATTTATTCGGCGCAGTAAGCAATCTAGTGAATACAATTTGAAAAAACGTGACAATGACGAAAAGCTTTCGCGAGGTTCTGTTAACGGTTCTCATAGTAACTTACGTGTGCGATGTGAGGGTTTCCGAGTTTCCCGCGGAACATCCAAAACCGTGATTTAGTTTTCTGTACAACTCGCTGTTATGGTCGATATGTTATATTTAATATGTATAAACAACTTTATCGACGGTTTACTATTGTTGCTGTTACTTGGTTTATTGCTCGGTATAAGTCACGTTATTTTATATAACTTCGGAAATGATTAATTATTTCTGACGATTAAAATCAGTTATCCTTTTACATGAATTTTCTTGCAAAATGCAAATATAACATTTTCCTTTCATTTTCACGCGTTTACTTTCGTTGTGATTATTTTTCTTGCCAAAAACGATTTTAAACTATTTATTACAAAAATTATTTTTAAAAATAATGCACTAGAGCCTAACAGATTCTTACAAAAATAATTTATATCACTTATTAATTTAAAAGAAAACATCTTATTTAACAATGTAATAAACATATAACATCATCGTATGTACTCTATAATTACTAAGTAAAAAAATAAAGAATAGTGCGAATGAAAAAAGAAAAACGATCGATATAATGCTTGTGTGAAGACAACATTTCATTTCTGCGAAAACAAATGAGCAGCTTATCAGCAGCTCTCTTTCCGGCGATAAAAAATTAAATAACGACTAAATGTAAAATTCAACGGATCGATTATTTCATTATACCTAAGTGCAGAAGTCGGAAATTACAGAGATCCTCCGTTCTTATTTTATATCGTTATGTCTATCCGGTATATTGTCAAGTAAGAAAGTATAGTGCAGACTAACGACGGTGTCACTATGGCGAGAAACTTTCGGGTGGTCTTGTCGCCTGTGCTAATTGTTAGTTACGTGTGCGGGTTAAGAATCGTGGAGTTCCTCAAAGAGCATCCGCGGTTAAGTTATTTCTACGATATGCTGCTACGGTCTATTTATTGTTTTTTCATGACAGATATTATGTCATCTTATATATCTTACGAATGGATATATTACAGAATATACATTAATCTACAGATATTATTGGCTATTACCTCATTATTTATTAGGCTCTATTACGATAAGGTAAGGGCGATTATTTTAGCACGAAAGGGCGAGGAATTTATTGCTTGTAATCTCGATTGTACTACGTCTTAATCGTTACGTGAATTCGCGGAGATCTCAATTCAATACTGTCTGCCCGCGTCAGAAATTTAGGAACTGCCTGAAAAAACTCGACATCGTGGACGAAACATTGGATAAACTCGGAACAACAACGGATTTTCGAAAGCTAGACACAAAAATAATGGGATTTCTCACGGGATGGTTCGCCATAGTCTTAATATTGAACTTTGGCAACAGCTTCTGATGGCAACATATGTATAGTGTTCTGACATCGTATTACATTGTTTTTTTAGTAAACTATTTTAGTAAACTATGCCAACTATTCTAATTTCCTTGAGTTACGAGTTGACATTTGCATATATTCTCGGGTGCGTATTTCTTTATGTAAAAATTTATCAGATTTATCGTTATACTCTTTTTGTTAATAGTAACACGCGAAACAATAGTATATATATGACATGTTGAATCAAAATATCTGTCACAAGGCAACTAAAATGGTAATGATTCATTACTTCTTGAGTAATGACAATAATAACAAGTATCTATTTTCAATGGGTAACGAGTTGCTTTTAAAAAGTAACTTTTCTTCAATCTTGATAGTTAACTACCATTTTTTGTTATTTTTCAGCTCGTACAAACGCGAAGAATAATTTGATCTCGCATTAGTAAAGTGACATGTTTTGAATAAATAAAACCATCGATGATCCAATGAAGTCACCTTATATAACCTTATATATCTTTTTTAGCTATTATATATAAGAAATATTATATCAAAAGTAATTAAACCCTTTTTCAAAAACTCAAAAATTTCTTTGTAATACGTCTGCATGTTTTTAACAAAAACTGTCCCTATTGCTTAGTCACCTCACATATTCGTTGTCCTCAATATTCAGATACATAGGGATAAAGTTTGATCAAGTCAACGAGTACCTTCACAGACTAGCGGACGGTGAGTTCACCGGTCGCAAACGCAGAATAAAACGACGGGAGAATACTGTGGTACCTTTGCAATGACGCAGATTTTCGAACGCTCCGAACAGCGAATTTATGATGTGGATTGTAACGTAAGAATCTATGTAAATTTAATGATTCAGGGGGATTTCGCGCGCCAAGATTTATTATCGGTTCCTTCCAGGCACCTCCATCTGGAATTGTGTAAAATATCACACGAGATAAACTCCATATTCGGAATACAAATAACTGTCAAGACAATGAGTTACTTTTGCTTTATAGCAGTCAACTTCTGGGAACTTTTCTATATGATGTTCGACGACTTTACATCGAACCAGAAGTGGTTTGATATCACGATATCCATATTCTGGGTTCTTACGTACTTCTACCAACTCCTGTTGATTAATTATTCGTGCGAAATAGTCAGCAATAAGGTATCGATACTATGCTCATGTTACGTGAGCACGAACTGACATTAAATTCACTCATCAGACAGAAAGTCACTTCATTCTGATTTACGTACTTCCATTTTAGGCAAATGCCACGAAGGATTTTATAAACAAAGTAATGTATTCCATTTATAACGCGGAGATTCGCGAGCATGTAAGCATATGATATTATAAATTAAGAACAAAACTTTGACTTTCAGCGTTAACAGAAAGAAGCACATGTGTATTAACAAGTTCATTGTATCAATGCAGATTGTGCAACTCTTGTTGCAAGTTATACAAACGCCACTTACATTCTGCGCCTTTGGCTTCTTTCAATTTGGCATCAAGTTCTTTCACAATGTGCGTTGCGATTATCAAATTAATTAACAGCTATTTTTTCCAATAATATATCCACGATAAGTTAAACATAATACTACTTTTCTTTTTAGTATTGAATGAACATCGTGGCCATGTTGACTATAATAATACAAACAAACCAAGATAAATATAACTTATTAAAAAATTACATGTAACGATAAATAAATAACTCAATAGACATTTGTTTGCTACTCGGTAAGTGGCTTTTCTTTCTAAATAATTTTTCGCCGTTACTTCGCTCTGACAACTAAAAATTGTCATTCCTTTGCAGAATCCAAAACAAATGTTTTTATTCTAATTTTATGCAATCTTACCTTCTTATTGCAACAACTTTTTTCCGCATCATTAAGACTAAATTTGAGAAAATGCCTTTTATTATACAAAAAATGGAAGTTGTTACATCGAAAAATGTGAGAATGCCGTTAATAAAGAAATACAATTCAGTTCTTTTCACTTCCATTAATTATTGTTTCATATAATTTAATATAAATTGCACGTTAAATTTGTTAAAAGAAACTGACTCATGTAATTATAATCAATTAATTAATTAATTAATTAGTTATGCAAACTCATTAACGTCATTTATGTATATGAGTTTGTTACATAACAAATACATAACAAATTAATTTGTTTACTGATTGAATCAGAAACATTTTTACTAATTCACTTTAAGAGAATAAAAACATTGATATTTAATTCTGAACATTATTAGGTCTGTTCGTTTCCAAAAAACTTCAAAACAAGTGCAATAAAAGTTAAAGTAAGACAAGT